CACTTTCTTCTTGACTTGTCCAAATGCTATTTCACTTCCTGTGTAAACTGCTCCGTATCCCCTCTTGAACCTTCCTATACCACTTGGCTCTGCTTCCCTTCTCTGAAATCAGATACCTATGTATCCATAAAGTTTATTGCCCAAGTGTCATATACTTAATTATGACTTTGTTTTGTCTTAATGACTTAACATATTATTTGACTTGTCATGACCTTTCTTCTCAACTAGACCCTTAGTTTCTTGAGGACATGGGTCTTGTTTTTCACATCTTTGTCTCCCAGCGGCACCTAACAGCACTAGTAGGAACACAGTACATATTTGTTGATACCATATGTTGATGCATATTTGTTGATACCAAGTAGCTCCAGAATCTCCAGAAGACTTATCCTCATGAAAACCTGAAAATAAACATATATGTTCAGTGATGCCAACTCTCTGGAGAAACAGGGGGAAAAAAACCAGGCCTCTACCCATGGCCCTTCCTCTCTGTTCTGCCTCCGACCACCCCTGGAAGAGGACCAGGTCGAGAGACTCTCTACGCTGTCCCTGCTCTGCCTTCTGCCCCCTTTACACTCCCCACCCCTGGACTTCTTCTCTGGGGCTGTGATTTAGCACTCGTCTTCCACTGCCCTTTGTCCTCAGACAGAGCCTATCAGCTCCTAGCAATGAGTAAGTCTAAATGCCTTATACCCCAAGTCTGCTTTTCCCCCCATTATTACATGACGCGTGTGACACGTCCCTCTGTTTATTCATCCTTTCCCACAGTGTCATCTTTGTAATGCCTTTACCATTCCCATTCAGCCCCCTTCCTCCTAAGTCCTTATATTCTGCCCTCTTGCACATCCCATTTTCTAACATTTCCCCTTGTCCTAAGACAGCTCTAGGAGCCTCCTCTGCCTTTCCACACATTAACTGTGACAAGCTCTCTCTTGGTGGCACCAATTCTCCTACAGTGCCAAGAAGGTGCTCATTTTCTCACACTCTTGTTGGGTGTGAGATAGGATAGATCACAGCTTGGTACTGAGTAAGAGCTCCAGAAATGGTAGTTATTAGTATTTCATCATTATGATTATCATTGTTATTCCTCAGATCAAGAAATGAGGTCATCCTTCTACCCACTGCCTACTCCTCCACCTTCTGGTTAAGACCCTTCCCTGTGGAGTGCATGCTATCTGGAAATATCACCCTTGACTCACTCTTGGAACTATTAGTGGGGCCTCCAGCTCAAAGATGTATAGTCTTCTCCACTGCCTCCACCAGCCCCACCTCTTTTCACTTCTTTCCCTCTGCATTGTAGCTTTGATGGTATAGCGTCTCCATCCCACTCTAAACTCTAAACTCTTTTATCCATCTGACCTTACCAAACAAACCTCACCCCTGGATGGTATCAATTCTGCTTTCTCAGTGCCAACACCTGGGCAAGTAAGCCCTGGACTCAACTTATTAATGTTCATATAGGAGGGGTTTTTTTTTTCATGCATTTTATAAGGTAGAGTATTCTGAAGTTTTAGTTCAATGATATATCATTCAAAGCAACATTTAATTTCAGAGGCTCTGATAGCAGTGAAGACACCGACATGGCCACAGGCTTCTTGATGCTGAATATTGTGCCAGCACAGTATTAAATTGGGAAGAGTTTTATTGTTTTTATTCCATTTAAGAGTTTTAACAGGACAGGAATTCACCTGTCCCTTAAAAGTTTGATAATGATTAATGTTGATTGACTTTCATGTGGAGTTTTCACCTTTGAAAGTAAGAATCATTAAGAAGTGGAAGTTATTTAAATTGACACAGATTCAGTAATAGAACCAGGAAGCAATAATTGACTTTAAGCATTTCTTTGAGTTCTAGATTGTTCTTCAACTGTTTACTGTTCTTCTGGGTCTTTGTTATTGAATTGCCTGGTTGCTGACTGTAAATGGAAACAATTATTTAAGAGATGGCTAAGTAGTGAACTTGGATACAAAATTCCATTCCTCTTATATCAAGACCATCTGAAGACAGTCTTGTAACTTACAAACCCTACCTGAGTTTTCAGCCTGCCAGTGGCCTTCCCTACAGATTTAAGACTGGCCAGCCCCACCTCCAATCACATGAGCCAATTTCTTAAAATAAATCATACACACACACACAACATACATACACACACACACACACACACATATACATATATATACACACACACATATATATATACATACACATATACACACACACACACACACACACACACAGCACTTAGGAGTATGAGTACCTAAACCCTCAGATGCTTTCAAACAATAAGCTCTTGCAGTTTAGTGGAATTTTTTCTTAAAGTAGTAAGACATGGGAAAGGGTTAAAAAAATTAGATAAAATGTTTTCAATCTATATAAATGTATCTATTATAAATACTTGGTGCATCTTGCTGAGAGCACTAGTTCTTATTCGGTTCTGATTTTTTTAAACTTCATTCCAATTAGATATGGTCTCAACTGGGATTTTTTTCAAGTCATAAACAAAACTGGGGAAAAATATGGACATTGTTAATCTCACTGAGGTGAAATTATATGTGGAATATTGAACGTTTTTGATAACGAACGTATGTTGCTCTTATAATAGAAGAAAAGGTTCTGAAAAACAGAAATATTTGCTTTTATAGCATATAACTAAAGCAAATTTAGAAAATTTGAATAATATGGATGAAATTAAAGAAATACTGAAAAAAGAAATTAAGAATTGAAGGGTGTATGAATATAAGCTGATTTCTTTAACACCACAAACAAATGTATGTGCAGGGTGGACAGAGGGACAGGAATACAGATAATAGGATTAACCATCACACAATGGGAGGAAACAGATTTAACTTTCTGGGAGAGCCAATCCCCAAAGGTCTGAATATCAGTTAATGGCTATTAATTGGACCCCAAGGTCCTGGAGTATCAGCACTATGTCAGCTGTAAGCCCTAGTTGGAATACCCCAAATGAAATGGAAGGATGAAGTTAGAAATGGCTGAACAAGAAGAAAAGATTTAGGAATTAAATGCTATCCAGAGACACTGAAACGATAAAGGAACTGAGAAAAGTGGCTGCTGTTAATGCTGATCTTTTTCTTTAAAAAAGGAATAGGCATCCATAAAAAGTTAAATTGAAATGTGTTGAATATTGAAATGTGTTGAATCTGACAACACCACAACAGAAAATGAGAAGGATATTCAGAAATATACGTAAACTTTGAGACACTTTACCAATCAAATGCCACCCAAGGAAAGAAACCCTTCTGGGATAAAAATCCTTTTACTGAATTGTGTAAAGGCTTTATGAGTTTTTGAGAAGAAAGGCACCCTGGAAATTTTAAGTTATTTTTATCACTTTTATTGAAAAGGCCATTTCTCTGCTCTAAGGCTGAATTTTTTGATGCAAGTTCAGTGGCTTTGGGGTGAATCTGAATGAAGTTTTCAGAGCAGCGAGAAAAATCATGCAGTGTTAAGATGCCAAGCTTCCTCCGATAAATCTTTTGAAAATAACTGATAAAGATGTTTAGCATTTCTCTGAATTCCTGTGAGGTATAGCATTCAAAGGAGCTGGCAGTTTGGAACAGTGCTTTCCTTTGATTACAAACTATTGAATTCTAAAATGCCACATAGCAATATAAGAGCAAAATATATTCATTTTTAACTCATAGTGGACAAAATACACAGATACAGTCTTCAGTTTGAAGCTAAGGAGGTAGATATGGATGTATTGGTCAGGTTTTCTTATTTATCAGTTATAAACAACTGATCAGGCCATCAGTTATTAGGGAGGGAAATGACTGCCATTTCAGACATTTGGCAAAGGTATATCAAATACCAGGAGGAAGAAATGAGATAGAGAAGAAATAAACACAACAAAAGTCCTCCTAAATCAAGAGACAAGAGATCTAGTCTGAGCTATGACCTACATAATAGCACACAGTAATTAATAGCATACCATTCTAAGACAGGAAGAAAAAAGATTGTTTCTGGAGTTTGGACATTTTGTGAATTGTTGGGTTTTTAGGATTTTAACACAATTTGAACTTTAAGTTTTTAAAAAAATACTTCTTTAAGTAATCTCTACCCAACATGGGCCTCAAACTCATGACCCTGAGATCATGGGTTGCATTTCCACTGAATGAACCAGCCAGGCACCTCACTCTGGACCTTTTTTTTACAATTTGAACTTTAAAACTTCTCCTATATACTAAAAGTCACTCACTGAATAATAACAATAGTCAAAATATACCATGCTTTTTATATACTATAGTCTACAAATATCCCATCACAACCTTTTGAGATAGAGGCTTGTTTCCATCACCATTTTGCAGAAGAGAAAACTGAATCACAGGGAGGTTAACTTGCCCAAGGTTATACAACTATTTGGTGACAGACCTAGGATTCAGACCCAGTTAATCCAGCTCTAAAGTCAAGGACTTCATACCACTCCATCACACACTTCAGTTTATGTTTTTATTGAGCATCTATTAAGGATATGGCACTATGCTTATTTATGTAGATGATGTGAAGTATGAGACAGGATTTAAAAAAAAATCTTTTAATTAAGTAACATTCATCACTTTTTTCCCTTCCAAAACCCCATGTGTGTATACATAGCATTACTTAGCATTTGCCTCAGTCTTGGGTGCCATCTTTACTGCAAATCACCAAATTGGTGAAAATAGCTTACTGGCAGAGAAAAACTAATAATATGACATCTAATACTCATTTATCCTCACTGTAATATCTGGGTCAGCTAGAGCAAATGAATGCCTTGGTGATGACACTCTGGGCTGGAGGCTTATGCTGCCATTTGCCTGTTGTGATGTCAGTAATGAGAGAGTTCCCCAGCCTCCATGCTTAGCCCACTTCCCCATTTCTCCAAGAAACCAACACCAGGAAAGTGGTATGTTAAGGCCAAGACTCATGTCTGGATCGTCCTTGGATTTCCTTTTGCTATGACTAAAAGTCTAATAATAACAACAGTAATAATATACATATGTTGTTTAGCACTGCCCTAAATAGCACAGAAATATTTTTATTAAAAATAGAGACTATATAAATCCATTATAGTAAGTCAGAGTACAATTATTAGGGTGAAGCATATGAAATTACCAACATTCAACCTTTTTGACCTACAAAAATACTGTTTTCTTATGTACAATGAGTACAATACATAGAGTATCATGGACAAGGCATAGTGTATTCCTAGGCAATGAACCAACTTCCCATAAGGCGCTTTGCTCAATCTAAGTAAGGTTTAACTCTTTGGTCTCTCTCCTATTATTGTATATTCCTGTGGTTCAACTCTGACTGACAAAACTCAAAAGAGTACACAGGTGACAGTGCCTCTGATGCTGCAAAGCTGACAGAAGAGCTGAAGGATGATGTGAAGTGCAGGCTCAGTGGCTAGTGGCCTCCCCAAGTGAATGTCAGAGAAGCACAAGTGAAAATCAGCAACCAAGTAGAGGGCCATGCAAGACCCACGACGTTATGGGAACATCACATCACTGCACTGGAAAAATAGAACAGAGACATGTCACAACTTCAGGAAGTATGACAAGAATGAATAACTGCCAAGATTGCCTTTTCATAGGGATTATCCCCCCTCCCCAGCAACCCATGTTTCTAGAAAACATTCTCTGTATGAAACACATATGCATAAAATCATAATGATAGGTCTTTACTTTGTGGGAACTGTGATGGACAAGACTCTGTGCTAACTGCTTCACGCATATGTTTGAAGCTTCTCCAGAGCGACAGACCGGTGGGATATATATACAATTGAGTTGTACTTTAAGGAATTGCCTTACACAGTGGTGAGGTTGGCAAATTCAAGGTCTATGCAGAAGGCCGGCAGGCCAGAGACCCTCAGGAGGGAGCTGATGCTGCCATCTTGAAGCAGAATTTCTTCCTTCTCAAGGACTCTCAGTGTTACTCTTAAGGCTTTTCAACTGATTGGATTCCACCAATTCAGATTATAGAGGATAATCTCCTTTACTTAATGTCATTTGATTGCAGATGTTGACCATATCTATGAAACACCTTCACACAATCCTTAAATTTAGTATTTAGTTGAATAACTGGGTACTATGGCATAACCAAGGTGACAGCTTAAACTAATTATTGCAACATGTATGCCATTTTTCTCCTCATAAAAACTCTGTGAGGATGGTACCACTTTATCCTCATTTTACAGAAAAAGAAACAGGTTCAAGAAGGTCAAGAACTTGTTCAAGATAACACAGTTTGTAAAGGATGGTGTCCTGTTTTGAAACTAGGGAATTTAATTTCAGAGCCTGTGAACGTAACCACAGGGTCCCACTGTCTCACCAATAGCAAGGATTTTATGCTAAGGATTCAGGAATTGAGAAGGCAAAAGCCAGCAAAGCATGAAGCCCAAAAGAGGTCAGTATCAGTGAATCACAAGCTTTCCAGCATCATTGGCTCCCTGGCTGTCTAACCCTGCTGTGAACACATTTGAGACCTATTAAGTGAGCCACAGACTAGATAGAAGGAAGATTATAACATAGGGCATACAGGGGTACCAGCTTGAGTGGAAAAACAGATCAAAGTGAATTACACATAAGACAGAAATCACGGGGACAAACGAAAACGTCCTTCTTTCTGCGATTCCACATAAACTGCCTCTAAGGTTTTATTCCAACTTGAATGACAGCATCAACAGTATCTGGGAAAGCTGCTCCCACAGAGCTGTGACAATGTGGACCTAGAAGGAAGTAGGACTTGGGGACTCCAGGGAAAAGCAAGTTGACAGCTAGTTGGGGTGGGATTTTACAGTTGCCAGAGGATTCTCCCTCACCCCCCAAACACCTGTCTCTCTCTCTCTCTCACCCTCCCTTTCCCCCCTTTCCCATGGACCGTGGTGGTACTTACAGAACTTGCCCATGTCCCCAGACCTCTCAGCTCTGCTTGCAGATATTTTAGCAGACTTTGTTCCACCTTGAGAGAAAAATAGAGGCCAACAAAGACTGCCTTCCTAAACACCTTTTTATACCACCCCCAGACACAGACATGGTCTGTGCCCATCCTCCCTGGCTGCCTCCAAAGACTGCCCCTTGTCTTGTGCTCTGGACTCCAAGTATCATGGCCATCCATCACCTCCAGAACACACCCCATCAGTCATCATTTTATTTTCCCTCTCTTATATTTTCTACCTTTTTAGTTTTCTTTCCCCTCTTCCTGCAAGTAGAACAAATGCTTCTACCACCTTAAAAAATACCTTGCTTCTAGATCATTGTAATAAACATAACCAGATCAAAATGCTTTATAAATGGGAACATCTGAGCCAAGGAGTTGGGATAAAAAAAAAAAGCAGCTATATTCTGATTATAATAAACACATATTACATATAAGGATATGAAGATATTATAAATAAAAAGATAGAAAAAATAGATCCTTCCAAGCTCTAAGCAAAATATAGTGTATATAGATAAAGGAAACTTTGAGATGAGAAATATTACTAGAGATAAGAAAAGGAAGTTTTATAGAGATAAAAAGTTTAATTTACCAAGAAGATACAGAATAAATCTAAATCTGTATGTGCTTAAAGATACTATTCTAAATTTGCATATTCTCCTAAATAAAGACAACAAAAATTAGCAGAAGAGGAAATATGTATCAATAATGTACTGTGGGTTTTAACACACCGCTAAAAGTAATTTACAGAGCAAGCAGACACACACACAGAGTAAGATGTCAGATAGTTTAATTAACATGATCTGACTGAAATATCAATATACTGTGCTATCAGCTGAATGTAGAAATGCACTATCACTATTCCTACAGATACATTCAACCAAAACAGGCATACGCATGTACCCAAAGACATTTACAAGAATATTTATAGCAGCGCTGTTCCTAATTTGTCAACAATTGGAAACAACCCAATGATATCCAGGCAGATGAAATAAATGAATTGTATTTAAAATATATATACCTTGTCTCAATTTTGCTTCTTCTCAAGCCATCAAAACTTTTCTTTGTTTGCTTCTCTGACAATCTCAAGTAAAAAATATTTTCAGGAAAAAAAATATCAGCTGTTTCCTCACTTCCATTGCGCTGTTCAGTCCTTAGCAATATTCCCAGCCCTTGTCATGCCACAGAAATGGTTTTGGTCAGGGCAGCAATTACAAAACTCCACTATTTTGTTTCTTATTCCTGTTCTAGTAGGTTGGTTTCTTGGCATCACCTGAAACGGATGGTTACTCCCTTCAACTTGCATTTTCTTTGTCCTTCATTTATTAAAAATTTTTTAATTTATTTAAATTATTTAATTTTATTTTAATTCCAGTATAGTTAACATACAGCGTTACATTAGTTTCAGGTGTGCAATGTGGTGATTCAACAATTCTATACATCACCCAGTGCTCATCACAGGTGCACTCCGTAATTTCTTGATTTCTCTCTTGGCTCTCTGTCACTAAAGCCTTTTCCTTTTTCTTTTGTTTTCAGTGTCTTCTGCAGCCTCTTGTTCTGTCATTGCAGGTACACTGAGACAGGGGGCCTCATCTCTGCTCATCCTGGCCAATGATATTCAGTCCCCTGCTTTTGTGCCATGTCTGTGCCCAGGTAGCAGTACAGTTATGTGATTGGGCATGGACTCTGAAGTCTGCAGATCAAGGTCTCTAAACCCACCCCTTCTCCTGAGCTTTAACCAGAGGGGCCCTAAAAATAAACTTAACCCAGATCATATCTGTGTAGTGAACCAATGTTGCATCCCCTTTACGTTTATAAATTGTTGAAAGCCCATATCCTCTTCTCATATTACCAGACCCGATTTATGTGTTTCTCAGATTTGCTTGGCTACGTTGTCTGCTTGGTGAAGCAGATGATGCTCCGGGAAGATCACTTGGCACCAATGGCATTCTTGTCAGTGCAGAGAGGAGATGTGAATCTACTGAAGAGAAGCTTCCTGATCTCTGTCCTTGCCCTCAAGATGGGGGCTGACTTCTCATTGCACCAGGCTGCCCGGCACTTGGCCCTGCCTCAGTAAGCAGCTGCTGGTGGTTCTTCATGTTGCTAGAAACAGGACAAAGCATGCCTCATCTCACACCTCTGACCTCACACTCCAGGGATCTCTCTTCCTGTCCTTGGGCTTTGCCGTCACTGCTAAAGTGCAGATGCCAGAAGTTTCATAAGCTTCCCCCGCCACCCCCATCCCACTGGCTTTCCAGGATGGGTCTTTCAGAATGCAGTTTGCAGAAAGGCAGGCATAAAATGCTGGAGCGTGCCCTTTCGCTAGCTAAATGTCACTGCTCTTGTGGAAAAAATAACCGAGAAATGTGGGAGAGTTACACCCCAGTGGGAGAGAGAGGGGGACACTCTGTTCAGTGAGCAAGAGGAGATAGAAAGCAGCCAACAGATTCTGCTTCCTCTCTCCTCCCTAAGAGACTGTTCTGGGACCCTGTTTCCATTTTCCCTCTCTGGAGTTGTGTGAGCAACCAGCTAAGTTTCCAGGTCATCTGGACAGCTTGGGATGCACTCCTTTGCACTTGCTTTCTCTCATCCAGTTCCTTCACTTTTACTTCCCTGACCTGCATCCCCTTGGCAAATCTTTGGCACTTAAATTTTGACTCAGGCTCTGTACTCAAGGGAAACCACACTGAAGTACTCACCATACAAAGGTAAAAGGGAGCATAATCCTCTTGATTCTTTACCAAGTGCCTGTGCTTTCTGCTAAGTGATTTACATTTATCTCTCTGAATCCTCACAGAGACTATGTAATAGATATGATCTTTCTCCTAATACAGTGAGGCACTGAGGTTCAGTGAGGCTTAAGTAACTTATTCAAAGTGGCACAGCTAAGTGTGACAAAGCTAAGGTGCCAACATCCGGTGTCTGGCTTCCGAGGCAGTATCCCTCTCCCTGTTCTTCACTGTTTCTGATATCAGGACATTGTGGTCTGAGAATTCTGAGAAGACTCCATGTGGTAATTCGTTGTTGGAGTTTTCAGAAGCTTTGAGAATGATTCAGGGAAGGACATTTTAAATATCCAGGCACAGCACCATAAGAGAGTCCTAAAACGACAGGGTTATCAGTAAAAACAGATGGTTAAAACACCCTTATTATTAAACATTTAGATATCGCGTATATAGTCATTCTAAATGGAATCCCATTAACGAGCCAACGAAAGGTCATGAAACAGCTGTTGCAGAAGGGACACAGACATCCAACGGGAGAAACAAAGGAAGGGGCGCCCCCCTACCCCACCTAGCTCAGTGCTCCATCCGTGTGTGAAATCACTCGGCCAAGCTCCTCTATTCCATCCAGATCTGTCTGTTCTCCTCATAAAGATCTTTGAGAACAAAGAGTACAAAGATTTAGTTAGAAAATTAATCTTGAAATGAAGTAGAGGGGTCCTGACTGCCAGAGACTGACCAGGGAAGGATGTCCTCACCGTGCACGGACTGTTACTGGCAGAGATCTCTGTGTATCTGGAGGTTCGGGCCAGTATTGTGCTTTGGAAATTGGAGAAAGAAATTGGAGAAAAACAGAATTTGGACCCCAGCATAGCACTCAGCATCTCTCCACATGGCAAATTACAAATGGAACCTCTGTGTCCCTGTTGCGGGAAGGAGAGGTTTTTTTGTGTGATTAAGGCATCAGATTGTTTACAGATCTAATCATTTTCTCTTGGTCTGATAAAGTGCTGGAAGATTGACCTCTTGAACATTAATTCATAAATGCTTACTTGTAGAAACAGGTGGATTTGTCTAAATGTGAGGAAAGCATTAATACCCCTTGCCTGATACTGAAACTCTTGCCTTTAAACGTGAGAATCGTTCCAGGGACCTCCAGGAGCTCAGCTGTGCCGTAGGAGGTTAGTTCTCTGACCATCATTGCCAGGAGAGTCCTTTTCCTCTTCTGTATTGTCCCTGGATGCTGTTCAGTCACATAGCTGTAATGCCAAACCCTCACCTAAATAATCAGCACTTGTCTCTTAACATATGTAAACCTCTCATCTCCCAACAAAACCTTAACACACATTGTCTAGAGTTGTAATATCACCTGGAAGTCTTGATGAAATGTCAGGACATTCGGATTCAGTAGCTCATAGTAGTGGGGGGGGGGGAGGAGGGGTTTTGGAGCTGAGATTCTGCATTTCCAGCATAGCTTCTGGGTATGTCAGTGCTTCTGACCCATGAACAAAACTTAGAATACCAAGAGCTTAGAAGCCCACCTTGATTTTCTTTTGAGTATTTTGAAGGTCATTTGGTCCCTACAAAAATGTGCCCCTTGAAACTGCCTCATTGTTACCAACAAACTGTTCTGGGCACCACTGAAGAAATGTGCAAACAGATGGGGATAGAGTTAGAAACACTGAGAACATCACACGAGAGCTGTTCTCATTGGCCACACTGTTTTAGCTCTCGGCGCAAGCACAAACTGCTGACCTAAAGGCTTATTCTCAAAATTACACACACACACAAATGGATTTTGCCAACACTACTTGACTAATATGCTTGTTCCTGAGACTACCAGCCTTGTTTTATTCAGTCTCAAATTGGTTATTTTTCTTCGAGCAATTTCAATTATTGTATAGGGTAAAAAGATTTAAATGTTAAAGCACATCAACAAAAGTAGCTCAATTGTGTATTTAAATTCTGTATTTGTTTTAACAGAAGTAATGCTTGTTATTCTGCCTCTATTTTAGGGTTTTCATTTTCTGTCTGGAGAATTCAGTCATTTTAAGGTCTCTGTCTCTCACACACACACACACAAACACACAAACTATTGTGGAAATGCAGCTAGTCCAAAACATGTTTAACTGTCTAGAACAGATGAGGGAAAGGGGTATTGAACTAGGCAGCTTTTTCCAGATGCTTTAGAAATGCTTACTTAATATGTAGTGCCTCTTACCCAAAAAGCATAGCTATGTGTTATCTTATATAGAAAAACACCTTATTTGGAGAAAAATTAAAATAAACATGTGGTTATATATAAACTGTACCAGTTATTAGGTTTATCCCTTACATTCATTTTTGAAAACTGCCTGCCTCGATCGAATCTTTACCACCACATTTCAGTAATGTCCTCCTGGTCACTGTCCCTGTCTGTAGAGGCTATCTATTCTAAGTAGATATCAACTCCAAAACAATTTGTTAAAAGACCCTTACTTTAAGGAGATTAAGACCTTAAGAACCTTTTATCATATCATTCTCTTATTTCGAGACATTTGCTCAAAACCTCTAGTTCTCAACCCACTACTCAACACCCTTCATCAAATAAATTAATAACCAAAATCTTAGATTTGAGAGACCAGTATATTCCTCAACAAAGGTAAAATAAGGAGCGTACACCAGTAAGTTAGCCGTGATTTGTTTTCTCTTGTCCATACTGATCTGTGCTATTTAACTATGAATTCAATTTCTTTAAAAATATATAGATCTATTCAAATTATTTCTTCTTCAGTGAATTTTGGTAGTTTGTATATTCAGAAGAATTTCTATTTCATCAAAGTTGTTAAATGTATGTGCATAGAGGTTTTTTTGTCATATTCCCTTAGTACACTTTTAACATATGTTGGGTCTGTAATGATACCATCTTTTTTCCTCCTGGTATTTATAATTTGTTTCTTCTCTCTCTCACTTTCTCTCTCTCTCTCTCACTCACTTTCTCTCTCTAGTTAATCTGTACAAAGTTTTACTAATCTTATTAGACATTTGAAAAAGCCAATTTCTGGTTGTATTTATTTTTCTGTTTTTAATTTTATGTATTTATGCTTTTTATTATTTAGTTTTTCTGATAACTTTGGTTTAGTTTGCTCTTTTTCTAATTTCCTAAAGAAGAATTATATCATTAACTTGGAGTCTCTTTTCTTTCCTCATATATGCATTTAATGACATAGTTTCCCCTAAGCACTACTGTAGTTTTACCTCACCAATTTTGATATGTTGTACTTTCATTGATACTTGCTTTCTGGTCCCTGGATTGTTTATAATCTAATTTCTTATCTTAATTATTACCTAATTCTAAGAATTGGGGGATTTTCCAGATGTTTTTCTGTTGTTGATTTCTAGATTAATTCCATTATGATTAGAGGATATATTTTGAATGATTTTAATACTTTTGAGTATGTTATGGTTGTTTTATGACCCAGTATATATTCTATCTTGATAGGTATTCCCTCTGCACTTGAAAAAAATGTATATTCTGGTCTTCTTTGGTGGGATGGTGTTGTTCAGGTCTTCTATCATCTTGGTAATTTTTTTGTCTATTTGTTCTATTACTGAAAGATGATACTAAAACCCTCCAAATATAATTGTGGGTTTGTATATTTCTCCTTGCAATTCTTCCAGTTGTATTTTAATACCATTTTTGGTTTTGGTTTTGGCTTTCCTGTGTGTGCATACATATAAAAGATTGTCTTCTTAGTGAATTGACCCCTTATTACATAATGATGCCTCTTGGTAATTTTCCTTGTTCTTAAGTCTACTTTGTTTAATATTAATAGAAACAATGCAGCTTTTTTTTAAATTAAGTGTTTGCACATTACATATTTTTCTTTTTACTTTTAACCTATCTATATCAGGATGTTTCAAGTGAGAGTCTGAGTTTTTTTGTCCGACTTAATGATCACTGTCTTTTATTTGATGTGCTTAGACCATTTATATTTTATGTAATTATTGATACATTGGTGTTTTAGTCTGCCATTATTTCGGTTTTTGCCCCCACTATTTTATATTCTTTCCCCTCTTGTGAGTCAGTTTGAAATATTTAGCTATATATTTATATTCCATCTTAATTTATCTACTCTTTTTGTCTTTATCTCTTTGTGTGGTTGTTCTAGGCATTGCTACATACAAATGTTCCTTTTTATAATCTATTAAAATTAATATTTTACCCCTCACATAAAATGTAGGATATGTATCCTCCCCCTTTTATGTTGTATCTGTAGTTGTCATATGTATTACATCTACATATTACATTACATTAAAACCTAACCAGGCAGTACTATAATTTTGGCTTTCTATCATCATATGTATTTCAAAAAACTTTAGAGGAGAAAATAATCTGTCATATTTACCTAGTCATTTACCATTTATGTTGCTCTTCCTTCATGTCTAAAGTTCCAATTTTCTTTTTTGCTGAAATTCTTCCTTTAACATTTTAGAGAAGGCATGCTTTTGACTAATTCTCTTTGTTTTCTTTCAACTCAATCTGTTGTCGTTATTCCTTCATTCTTCAAAGATATTTTTATTGGATAGAGAATCCTTTGTTGGCAGTTCATTTCTTATGCTACTTTTAAAATGTTGTGTCCCTTTATTCTGTCCTTTATTGTTTCTCATGAAACATCCACAGTCATTCAAATATAATTGTGATATTTTTCTCTGGAAGCTTTCTAGATTTTTTTTTAATGTTGGTTTTCAGCAGTTTGATTAAGATGTATCTGGACATGGTTGGGGCTCCTGGGTGGCTCAATCAGTTGAGCATCTGACTCTTGGTTTCTGTTTGTGGGTTTGAGCCCCACATCAGGCTCCATACTGACAGAATCCTGCTTGGGATTCTCTCCTCTCTCTCTCTCTCTCTCTCAAAAATAAATAAATAAACTTAAAAAAAAAAGATGTATCTGGAAATGGTTTTCTTTGAGTTTATCCAGTTAAGGGTTCATTAAGTTTCTTGAAACTGTAATCTCTTTTACCAAATTTTGGAGGTTTTCAGTAATTTGTTCTTTATTCTGCATGGTTTCAATTGGCATGAATGTTATATTTTTTTATACTATTCCACAGGTTCCTGAGGCTCTGCTTTTTTTTTTCCAACATAATTTTCTCTGATATTCAGATTGAATATTTTCTATTGCTCTATTCAAGTTTACTAATTCTTTTCTGTGTCATTACTTAATTTTTTTAGTTCTAAAATGTCCATTTTATTTTTTACAGCTTCTCTTTCCCTGCTGAGAACTATTATCTTTCCATTTGTTTCAAGATTGTTCAACCTTACTTCATGAAACATAGTTATTATAGCTGTTTTAAAGGTCTTTTGTTTTGTTTTGTTTTGGGGATTTAGATCACCAGGA